ATGACTGTTCTATTAATCCCATGCAAAATTCCAAAAGCCTACAAATGAATTAATAGTCAATATGACATTAGGGTGATATTAGTAAAATCATTATCAGAAACCACGTGACAAAGGTAAAAACAAATCATTTACTAGGTGTCCTTTCCATGGTTGTGGATGCATACACAAATGCTCGTGTGCCAGATGTTATCATTTGTCCAATCAGCATAAGTTATGACAGAATTCTGGAAGAATCACTTTATGCTTATGAGCTGCTAGGAATACCAAAACCTAAAGAATCTCTTAGAGTGAGTATTGCTTATAATTGGTACAAATACAGTCAAAATGAACTCATGCCAGTCCCTAGATGGGACCTTGCAGAATCAGTTTGACTCAGAATAAATAATTTCTAAAGATCTCAATAAAGGTGACAACAGCATGCATCTCTGACTCCCTTATTAATATCTCGCATGCATGAACTTGCACGAAGTACTCTTTCACAGGTACTGTTTTTCACAAGTTTTTCAATTCAGATTTGTTCAGGTTCCATTACAAATCATAGCCAAAGGTGTAAAGCACATACCTAAGCACAACTCTTAGGCTTCAAGAACTGGTTGAAAATAATGTAGAAACACAGTGAAAGGGAAACAATTTTCATGTGCTCTTTGAGGTGCTTTTTAGGGGCCTTTTACATGCATGTGAAATTTTTGTTTGAAATAAGTTTGTAGATACATGAAAACTGTACCTAAAGGGTCTACCTGAAGAAACATCATAGTACATGCAGATATGGCAATTCTTGGTTGCATATATTTTGCAACACCTTTACTCTAGAATTTTGCAAAAGTCTTGTACTTGGAATAATTTAATTTTGCACTTTGAGTGAGACACAATGTTTTCAGGATCTTAAATATATCTTTCCAGAAAATCTTAATCATAGCCAGTCAAGTATGTTTCTGCATACCTTCAGGCTTACAGATGAACTTGCTAGCTTAATGTTTAGTTAATGCTTTTTCCAAAATTTCTAATATAGGGGTTGATCAGAAGCAGATCTGTCCTGACAGAGGACTATGGAAGTATACATATTCACATTGGAGAGCTTATACCTCTGAGTAGATTCACAGACGGAAAGCTTAACAGGGTGGATAATGCAGCTATACCAAGGTGAATATAAGGCAACTGTTATGAAATTTTTAGAAGGAATGTTAATTCTGTTGTGACTTCATTGTTACCATAATTCTTAATGCTCCATATTCTGCTACGAGGAGCATAGCTAAGGGCATCTATTAGTCACCTCAGCACATGTGATTCAAGCCCAAGCTGAGGGACCAAGGAATCACTCATTGTCTTGCTAACATGCCAAAGTATACAGCTTGAGGAGGTTCAAACTCCTGTTGGTTCCAACTGGTTTTAAGGCACCAAAAACACACATAAGTGACCCCACTATATGGAGTGGATCTCATGGAACATTTCTGCCTTGTTAGCGAGAAAGCTTTAGGTAACACAAAGGGAGTTCCATAGGAATCACCCCTCCTAGTTGCACTAAATACTTACATTTGAGCATTTGAGTATCCAATGCAGTTGAATTTCAGCGATTTAGGTAAGGCCAATAAACTTGGATACATGTCTGTGTAGAAATCTTGCTGTACCCATAAAGTCAACTCTGTGAAGAGTCATAATTTTTACCTTATGGAGTCATGGATATCTCTGCATTTATCACTGAAATACGCAGAACCAGCTTAACAATATGGCTCTAAAAAACTGTCAATTGAACATGTTTTCCTTTTCAGACATTTGTTTCATTATTTGTCCAATGATGAGAAGAAAACCGTGAAGTCACTGGGATACAAAGTCTTGCATGATCTACAAAAAGGAATGATTCATTCCCCTAGTGTTCTTGTGGCTTCAATCATGCTACAAAATTTACAAGGACTCCATTTTGGTAAGTTTGGTTTGAGAGAAGTGTCAGTTGGTGTATGTTTTAATGGACCCCTGTGATAGTTCAAAGCTTATCACAAACTTTTAAACCCAAACACATCATTTAGAATTGGAAATCATGATCAACCAGTCAAATGTTGCTCATTGATGTAGGATACTGACATGGCAAAAATCTTGTTTTGCTCAAGTTAATCACTGAGACTGAGAACTAGCCTTGCATGTAGATGGAGTCAATTGTTTTGTTTGGTTTTGGTTTTGTTTTGTTTGTTATTTTCCTTGGGTTTTTCTTGTTTGTTTTTTGGTTTGTTTGTTATTTTTCTTGATTTTTTGTTTTTGTTTTGTTGTTGGTTTGTTTATGTGTTTGTTTGTTCATTTGTTTTATTTTGTTGTTTATCTTTTGGCCGTATACATATAGCCTCAAGTTTTAATTGTATTTTTGTGTTATTTTACATTGCAGATGAGCTGTTAGAAAAATTTACCTGGCTGAAAGAGTTGTGTCTCTTGTGGCATATTCCTATAAAGTCTGCAGGTTTGTTTGAATAATAATAATAATTATAACTATAATAATAATCATTATGATGATAATAAATGGAGTGAAATGCATTTTTGGAATTTTGTATGAGAATGCCGTGAAATGAAAATATTAGTCTTTCCTAACTGAATATGAATTCCTCAAAATTGATAAAAAATTTCAACCTAAAAAGAAGTTTAAAATGATGCTAAACCTTAAACTGCATTGCCAATAGGTTTTACGTTTTTGTTTGTGCAGTGGGCCTGTTAACCCTTTAAGTCCCACTAGTGGTCTAGACAGAATTTCTCCTTACACTATCTGTACAATATCAAGCAGACAAGTAATGAGAAAAAATATATGTAAATTAGGGATTATTGGTTGACCCAATTTCAAATTCTTCAAATGCATTTTGTTAATTGTGATGTGGAATTCTGAGTTGCAAAATGTACTTTTGTATGATGAGCTGGTTGAATCATTCGTTCAAGTGTACTGACGTGAACTAATTTTCCTCTGGTTTGTTGATCTAGGTAACACGGACAGTGTAGTTTTGGTCAACGAGAGTATCGAGTTATTAAAATCGTCTGTGGAGAAAACCAAGGATGGATTTGTGAGAATCAGAGACATTACCACAAATGCAATTGAGGGGCCAAGTTCTTCAGGGCAAGCGGCAAAGAAGGGTGAACATCTCGCAAATTCCGTGAGAAACGTCAAAGATGAGGCAGCCATACACATGCTGCTAGCATGTAAAAGGAATGTTATTTTGTGTGATTTCTTTAGAACTGGCATGTTTTCCCTCTCTGCGCATAAACAGCCTTCTTCAGAAAAGCAGTTAGGTAAGTCAAATGAAGCTGTGAATTCTTTTTTCCCATATATTTTTTCGATTTGGTTTTTTTGTTTTTGTCATCCGTGTAAAAAAGTTGTTTTACCCTTCTTGTTTCCAAGTATTTTTTCGATCAATAAAGAAACCTGATTGGTTATTGTGCTCAGATGAAACAACCAATCAGCGAAAGCTCACTGATCTCTGTTTTGTGACGCAATCAGTGCAGGATTATCATACTGCACGCGATAGCACACGATAGCCATAGTCTGCAAATAGTTTCCGATTGCAAGAGCCTTGAAGAAACTGGCTTTAAGTGAGATGGCTGGTGAGGGGTGGGGTGGGGTGGTCCTCCTCCTCTTCCTCCTTTTCTTTAAGCTTTATTCTCTACTGAAGAGCCTGTGAACGGACTAGATGGCCTGAGCAGGGCCAGGTACTTTGTGACCTTGAACCAGATATTTTCCCGTCCAGCCCTCCCGTCAGTGAGTGCATAGTATTCGACCGAGCACTTCGGATATTTCTTCATCCATGATTGGAGTGTTAAATGCTGTCTGATTGCATTGCTGTTCGAGTTGTCTGACTCCTTGCTTTGTGAAAGCATTTGCGAGTTTGACTATTGGTCATGGTTTCCCCTTACAACGGAATGACGAGGTGCTATCGAGGTGATGTCTAATTTTGTTCCAAACTTTTTTCTGTTTTCCTCAGTTCAATTGTTTGCTGATTTTGAATTTTTGATGAAACTTTTGGTGCAAGAAGTTCCTCCAGTTACTGAACAAATCAATGAGGTAACGACCGATGTCTTCTGATAATTTTTCTGGTGTTTGATTGGAGTAAAATAAATTGAATTTTAATTAAGTGTTTCATTTTACTCCTTCTCCAGAACTTTGAGTACTTTCGGGAGACCGTTCAGTTATTAGAGCACCATGGCTCGATAAATATTCGAAATGGGAAAGTAAAGATTCTTCAGGAGAAGGACATCACTTTCAGTGCGGACATATGGAGACCTATTTTGACAGCATACGGGGTGAGTCAAACACCAACTGTCACACATAGAACAGGGTGACAAAAATGGCCCACACAAATATCTCTTGATCCCATGCGTAATAGCTAAGGTAATTTGGAAGTGTGTTGTTACCATTTTCAGATTACATGTCAGTTTTTTGCCAACTTCCCTGATGGTATTCACGAACAACCACTGTCAGAGATTGTAAAACAAATTCAGGACAAGGCAGCTGAGCTTGTACTCACTGGTAAGTTGGTACATGCTTAACACAAATGGACAAACCTAGGGCGACCTACGGAACAGCTTTATGCAATCGCTTTGACGAAGGGCTAGCGCTCGAAACCTAAGCCTTTGAACTCTTTACGGTGGCCAACTTACGTTTTCAACTCAGTTGTTAACACTAAATTACCTGCTATACTCTCCCACCGATGCAGCACCACAGTTTCTTTAGAAACTTACCCCCTTTATTCATTAAGCTTTAGGGACAGCCCATGGGTAAACCCTTGGGATAACCCTCGACACAACCTTCGGGATGGTCATGTTTTACTTGAAACATGATATATGTAACTCTGGTGTTCCGTCAACCTTTACTGCTGGAAATATTTACTAAGGTGGTGGGGAGGAGGTCGTGGCCTCATGGTCTGAGCTATCATTTCTTCACTCTCTAGGTGATGTGAAGTTCTACGAGGTCCTCTCGCTTGACTTGTTAAGGAATTCTGTTATGGCGCTGGCCGATTTGCGAGTATTGAATTCGTCTAAAAGGTACAGTTATTACTTCAAATTCCCTATCAAATGTCCCTTGGGCGCATCCATAAGCTAACCTTTTGGTGCTGACACAACTGAAGCATATAGTTAATACCGTGTAGCGTAATAAATTTGCAGTGTGCCGATTTTTATTTCCCAGGAACAAAGATTTGTTGCTCGAGATGACTGAAGTTTCTGCTGGGAAACTTCTTTTGCTATTTATAGTTCAAGTAGCAAAACATTACCAAGAAAGAAGCGTAATAATTTCAAATCGCTAAGCGTCCTTTTCTAGTCATATTTAGGTGGTAGGTTCGTTACTACAATGGATCGACGGAAGTCGGATTACAAAAAATACTAATTAACACTTCATTTGTTTGCGGATTGCCTTTTCGTCTTTGACCGAGGATGGTAAATTTCTGCTGCGTCTGCTTTACGGATTTGAGGACTGTCTACGAACCCCGGAAAATTTTCTCATGACACGGTATTAATTTGATCAAAATTGATTTGAATTGTAATTTTTTTTTTCTTGTAGTGTTGATGGTGCTGTAGTTATCTCAGTTCCTAGCAGTTCAAAGGTCACGGAAACCTTGCACAAAATAGGTAAGCGGACGATGATTTTTTTTTCTTCACTACGCGTTCTTTACTTTAAACACTGTTCGAGATTTCAATTTTTTTTTGTCCCACATTTGTACTTTTGGCACTGAAAATTTATTTGAAAACTGACAACTGAATAAAGTATGACAGGATCTCAGCTTCGTCTTTACTACCACCGAGAACAACAACCAATCGGGTTTCTTTCCGTTTGAACAGAAAAACTCGGACACGGAAGGGAAAAAATGAAAACGAAAAAAATTTAAGAGGAAACACGAGTTCACAGAGTCATTTAAGGCGGCTGGAAACGGTTTTCCGAGACACATACCGACTATATCCAAAGCGCTCAAAAACCAACTTTCCCTCTTCGGAATCGAACCAATTTCTCACATGTTTAGACCAAAGGATCGAATTTTTAAATAAAGGACGTAGCATGACAATCGCTTTTATTATGCTAATCAGTGTTATGGGGAAATCCCGTTACATAGTTATAGGGGACGGTCGCGGAGAATCCTCGATATATTTTTTTCCCCAACCAATTACTTCAGGATTTTTTTTTTGCGCCAAGGCCTTGCTGCTGAGTGTTTTTTACAGAAGTGGCAAGATGCACGCCTTTCTTTGTGGCTTGCATGGTGAATATGACATATAAATTGAACGCTAGGATCTTTTTTCTATTTTTTTTTTGTAGGTGAATATCTTGACCTGCCATGTTCTGCTTCGAATTTGACATTGCCTCAACTGTCAAAGCTGTGAGCGAAAATGCTTAACAGTCAGTAATAATGACAGAGATTTGCAACAAGAGCGTAAGATGGAAACAAGAAGATATTTTGGAATCGACTCTTCAACAAAATGGTTCCAAGTTCTCGTTTAGATACTAGTGTGCCATCTGTGATCGAGGAAAAAGGGGGCAATAATCCTTTCTAATTGCCGTTTCATTCAACTGACGTAAAAGGAAAAAAAATTTGCAGTGAGCTTAAAAGAGCAATTAATACCAAGGTGTAGCTTAGGAGGTGGTTGTATTTACCACTCCATCCTTTGTGAAGAACCTATTTTATCATTCCATATGGTTAAAACAAAATGAAGTAGATGGGAGTTGTAACTGACCACAGTCGGCGAAACAATCAGTTATGTGAAGTGTTTTATCTATCTCATGCACCGGGGGGGTGAATCACTTGATAGGATGTTCTTCAGTTTTTCGTATACGTTACGAACTGTGAGAAGTGCGTTGTTAGGAACGTCTGAGGTGACAATCAGTTTTACGACCATGAAAAAATTCCTCCTCACAATATCAATGAAATGTCCAGCAGATGAGAATAAAGAAAAATATCAATCAAGGGATAGCTGATCCAATACCGAATTCTCCATTCTAACAATATGAGAACTGTATCGGAGGCAGTAAGGAGAATTGCTGATGAGATCTTGGGAGTAAAAGGGTTAAGCAAACTTCTAGAATCAGTTATGCGATTATTACTTTTCTCTGTTATTTGAACGGCCAATGTCAACATATGTTGACAACTTGACTGTGTGGAACTTAATATCATTGGACTGATTAAAAATTAAACGATGAAAAGGTAACTTAATAAACAAAGAACTG